TGTAGATGTTACCATATTTGAACCCTATCAAATATGGTACGACAATTCCAGAAGATGGGTATTTAGTGTCTTATGATGTGTCACGCAGCCGCAAAGCAGCCGCGCAAGTCCAAAAAGCATCCTGAAGTGTGGCGACGGCTGGGTAGTAGAGGTAGTGTGGATCATATTTCATATTTACTTTTTTTTTGAGCTACTACAGTGCTATTAGAAAACTTTTATTTTTAAAGACACAGAACAGAACTAGGGAGATAGCTCAAGTGATAGAACACATGCACGAGGTCTTCTGGTCTCTCCGTGGTACCATATGGCCCCTCAAGCACTGCCAGATGCTACCCTGGTACACCCCAAACCAACCCCAGCACTATGCCATTAGTCCCACACTGCCATGCTGAGTATTGTTGCTATAGTTCTCCCACGACCCAGCACCACGGCAATCACTGTTAAAAAAAAATAATAAGGGCACATGAATCTGATAGAGTTGAGATTCATCCATCAAGCAGATAGTTTTATCTACAGTCAGCCTAAGGCCTAGTTGATAAGAGTAAGGCTTTTATTTTTCTTTTATGTTCTGTAATAGTTTCTTGATCTTGTACTTCATGGAGAAAACAACAGCAAAATATCTTTGCTACAAACTTCAGCTTTATGTATGTGGGGTGGGGGTGGGGTGGGAGGAATGGCAGTTTCTAGAGGTAGTTACACACTTAAATCACATGTACTTGGTTTTTGTGGTCATTGTTATTATACATAAAGGTTAATTTCACAAAGTCTATCTGTTTAGACTCTTAACTCTTTAAATGCCTACATATTACATTTAAAAATTTTTTCATTGAAGGTACTCCTGAACACAGGATACTGTTTCATCCGACTGAAGTCCAATCTGTCTCAAGTTCACCTTGGGAAACATTCCTCCAAAACAATAAACAAATGACAGCCAATGATGACCTCTCACTAAATGGTCCAAGATTAATGGGCTTTTTGAGTGCTCAACTCTTCTTTTATGGACTATTAATCTATATTTTTGCTGCTATTACTGAGAGCAGTCTCAGGAAGAGCCTTCAGTCTCAAATTTGTTGTGTTCACACAAACATTTGTGTTAATGTGTACATTACTGGACCTGAAATCTAGCACCATGGTCAAAGTCTTTTCCAATTACATATTTCAAAAGTCTGTTAGCTTAGGAAAGAAGAGCCCACCAGAAGTGATGTCTGAACAATTAATGTAAGCTCTGAGCAGTACTGTGTGTGGCCCCCCAAAACGAAAGTTTGAGATATAATTAATGTAAGGGTAAAACTGACACCATGACAGGCATTAGAAATCAGCAAAATCAGCTAGGCCTCAGGTTCAGTTAAGGGAACAGTTAAGTTTCAGTTTCCCAGCAATGAAACAATGTGTAACTAGCCAACCTGAATCCCCCTGGAAAGCTCCTGGGCCCAGAAAGTGGGCAAGTGGACTCAGTCGATCACAGTGTGCCAGAAACCATACAGAATGTACACCAGCACCCACAAGCCTATCAAAGTCCAACATATATCCTAGACACTTGCCAAAATACCTTTGTTTAGTAACTAAGTAAGATTTTTCTGAAACAATACAGCATGTACTGCTTATGTAATCAAACTATATATAAACTGCTTGCTGCCTGAAGCCGGGGTCGCTATCAAGAGACCACTCTGTGGGTGAGATAGTTGACCCCAGTAAACTGGAATAAAACTCCTACTGCTTTTGCATTATTTTGTTCGTGTCTCTGTCCATCACGCTGCTTGGGAACCCAGAATCCCGGATTTAACAATTAACATATAATAAAATCTGCCCTTTACAAATATAATACAGTTCAGAGCTTTCTTAGCAGACTTTGTCTGTCAGTTTGTCCTCATATTCCTAGCATCAAGAACAGTGCCAACTGCCTAACAGACACCCAGATATCCAGCTAATAAATGCATAAAATCCCACAGGTCACCATCTTTTTCTGGAACCATTTTGAATTCAATCAGACAGTACTTCTATTCCTCCCTCTAACTCAACAACTCCAACTGTTGAAGCAGAAACTATTCTCTGCAAAATTCCTTAGATTCACCTTTTCATATTTTTAAATGCAAGATGGTGGCCCTAGGAATTTCATATTCAAGGAATAAACTAATACGTTGCATCAAAGATGCTCAATAGGATCCACACACTAGAAGCAGAGGAGAGCCATTAGGGAATGAGGCCCACTCTCTGGAGAAACCGTCCCTAGAGTGAAATGTTACTTATGCCCAGTCTGCAGTAACATTTGGAAAACAAGTCTTGTGGAGCAGAAAACGGAAAGCACTGTAGGATAACATTGGTTTGCCCTTCCTCCCTGGCTGCTGGGAGCTTGTGTTTGTTGATTGCCCCTAAACCTGTCAATCAGACTCTGACTTGTAAATATTGTCTTTCTCTTCTCCTTAATGTCCTTTGCAGGATTATTATTTCAAAGCAGATGCTTTTTGTATGAATACAGAAAGATAGTTAAAAAGACAAACCTGTGGCTTGGGAGTTGATTGTCTCCAGATAATATTACCTCCTGGACATCTGCTCTCTCGACTTAAGCCTCAGTTGCCCTCACTTCCTAGATCCCCAAAAGCAGGGTCTCGACGAGGGATGGGACCCAGGGCAAGTGGTGAGCTATGAGCTACCCTGGCATCGAAAAGGGCCTGGCCAAAGTGCCCAAAAGCGGTAGGAGCGATAGCACAGCGGTAGGGCGTTCTCCTTACAAGCGGCCAACATGGCCGACCCGAGTTCGATTCCTCTGCCCCTCTCAGAGAGCCCGGCAAGCTACGGAGAGTATTTGATATGCCAGACACAGTAACAACAAAGTCTCCAATGGAGACGTTACTGGGCCCCCTCGAGCAAATCAACGATCAAAGGGAGGGCCTTTACCTTTACCTTAAAGATGCTAATTAAGTCGCAGGTCTAAGGAGAGGAGAAACACACCTAAAGGCTATTTTGCCCTCATGTACTGCAGGTGGTCGAGAAGTCTGGAAAAACATTTTTGATCATGCTCCCCTGTGGGGAGGCGTGGTTGGAGAGGCTGGTGAGAGGATTGAAAAAGCGGCAGGGGCTGGAGAGATAGCACAGCGGGTAGGGCGTTTGCCTTGCACGCAGCCGACCCAGGTTCGATTCCCAGCATCCCATATGGTCCCCTGAGCACTGCCAGGAGTAACTCCTGAGTGCAGAGCCAGGAGTAACCCTGTTCATCGCCAGGTGTGACCCAAAAAGCAAAAAAAAAAAAAAAAAAAAAAAAAAGAGCAGCTGCCAGGAGAAAGGGGGGGGGGGGGGGCGTTGATAATTGGAGAAAGGGATTGTTGGTTGATGGATTGATTGAAGGTTGCTGCAGGGGGATTGAAGGAGAGACAGTTACAGAGACAGCAGAGAGAGAGGAGAGGATACAGCGGCAGAAAGAATCCTGCAGTTAGAAAGAGACACACAGGGAGAGGGCTGGAGAGAGCTGGGAGAGAGGAGAGATTGAATAAACGGCAACTAATAAGCAACCAGCTTGGCTCTCGCTCTTCCTTCGTGTGTCCAAGGCAACAGTCGTCCTGGGTGGAGAAGCGTCTGGAGAGCACAGAACCCGAGCAGCGAGAGAGAGCTGCCCAGAGAGCCCGCGAACATCCTCACTGTAATTCCCGCGCGTGAGGGGCTTACACAGCCCTGCGAGTAGGGTTTTACACAGCTCCTCGCTGTGCAAAAATTCCGCTGTGCGGAATTTGTTTCTACAAAGCATCATGGCTGACTAGGCTGGCGAACCGTTTATACACAATGGCCTGGTAGAAGTCTTCCCCTACAAAAACGGGATGCCTGGGCCCGCTCTGACCACTGGACCGCACCTGGCAGACGCGACGTGCTCATGAACAGCTGGAGACTGTTCTGGCGGAACCAAACTCAGCTCGCACCCAGGAAAGCGAAGCTGAGGGGCCGCGGGAGGGTGGGAGCGATGCTGGAGCGCTGGGGCCGGACGGGGTGCCTCCACTTTCCCTCTGCTTCCCAGTTCTCCCTGCACTGTGACAAAAACCTTCCCAGCGGACAGGACGGCCACAGACCCGCCTCTCGGGCTCTGGGTCCCGCGGACCTGTCGGGCACCTGGCGTGGAGCTGGCGGGGCAGCGGCCCTTAGGGGCGCATTTCACAGAGAACCGGCCCTGCCAAAGGGCCCGGAGAGTGCGTGAAGCTCAGGCTTTTCCTCGGGTCTTCCATGCCCCCTCTCACGCCCCCGCCCCGTTTCTGACCCCGGAGCGACTGCATAGCTCTGCCCCTCCACCTCCTGAATCTTAGTCCCTCTTAGTCCCTGTGTGTCTCTCTCTAACTGCAGGATTCTTAGTCCACATCTCTCCACGCGGAGCAGGGTCACTGCTCCTCCTGGGCCCCCCAAACCCGTGGCTCCTGAGGGGGGCTCCGACCCTACCCCGCCAGCGCTCTGAGGTGTGTGGGGGGCTCATCCTCCCTAGCCCTGTCTCTTCTCGGGGGTCGCCCCGCCCGCGCTGCCCCACCCCTCTGGGCCGGCCGCTCGTCCTCCTAGACTAGCCAGAGCAGATCATTCTCTCTCCTGAGGGAGCCACTCCAAGCCCTGTGGGAGCGCGCCGGTCCGACCAAGCTCTCCGAGGGGCGTCGCTCCAACCCCGCCACACGCCCTCGCCCTGACACTCGTGGTGGGGGATCCCTCGTCTTGAGGGGTGGCTTCACCAGCCTGGCCCCAGCGGGCGAACAGGAGCAGACGGCCCTGCGAACCTTAAGGGAACGGGGGCGTGACTAGACGGGCAGGAGGCGGAGCTCCTGGTGGGCGTGGTCACCGCGGGGCGGGGCTCCCGGGCAGTGGGCGGGGCCGGGCCGTGACCGAGGGCAGGGGGCGGAGCTCCTTGTGGGCGTGCGTGGTCACTTCGGGGCGGGGCCATGGGGCGGGGCCACGGCGGGGCGGGGCTCCCGGGCAGTGGGCGGGGCCGGGCCTGACCGAGGGCAGGGGGCGGGGCTCCGGGGGCAGGGGTTGGAGCCCGGCGAGTTGGACCTGCGGGCCGCGGCCGAACGGATCGCCGGCGGCTCGGGTGGCTCCGGCCGCACAGCAGCTGAGCCATGGCGGGCTGCTGCGCCGTGCTGCGCGGCTTCCTGTTCGAGTACGACACGCCGCGCATCGTTCTCATCCGCAGCCGGAAAGTGGGGCTCATGAACCGCGCAGTGCAGCTGTTCATCCTGGCCTACGTCATCGGGTGAGCGCGCTCGCGGGACCGGGGACCCCACGACCGAGACGCGCCCCCCGGGAGCTCTCCACGCCCGGACAGCCTTCTCCGGGAGGGACCCCCGCGGCGGGACCAGCCCAGGGGTTCTTAAGCCAGACAGACCTTTCCCAGCACCCCGGGTACCCCCCAAACGGCTTTGATGTGTTTTAAAGGCACAGCCTGACCAGACCGTCCCCCCCACCTTTCCCGCTTCTTGCCCTCCGGTTTCCTGCAGCCCCGGGCCTGGGCCCGGCACCCGACCGTAAATCTCAATGGAGGCACTTCCCATTCCGGTGATCCGCTGGCAGAGACCAGCTGGGGTTTCCAGCTGCTTCCTTTGTAGGGTGTCCTTTGAGCCCATCTCAGTGTCCCGACTTCTGACCTCACCAAGTGCCTGCTTCTGATCCAGTGCACCCTTAGACTGCACCAAAACTTGAGGGTTACCTTACCAAGTGGGCCACCTCCAAGAATCCCCCCCCCAGTGCTACATTGTCTGCGGGTGCAGAAGGCCTAAGACAGTGATCCCCAAATTACAGTCATTTAGGAACTGTTGAAAAGGAACTCATCCCCCACACTGAGGTGGGGCTTCAGGTATGTTAACGCTTGCCTGAGGGAACTAGGTGTGCTGCTTGCTGGCTTTTAACCTCGGTGAAGCCTGCAGCAGTATGGAAGGAATGAATTGGCCTTTCAGGCATGTGCTTACAGCCTCCAGGCTGGGATTCATTAACTTCAACAACTTTCTAGCCTCCAGTTAAGTTGCTACACCCCGAAGTTCTGACACCCTCTTCATCATGTGATTGATGACAGAATTAGATAAATGACAAAGTTGTGTTCAGTCTGGGGGTGGGGAGAACACTCAGAAGTACTCTTGGGGCTAATGTGATGCTGTGGGTGGGTGGGTGAGGGTATTGAACCCCTGTTTTCCATATGCAAGCATACACTCCAATCCTTTCTCCCCCTCCCTCTCTCCCTTCCTCTGTCTCTATCTGTCTTTCTCCCTCTCCCCCCCTTCTCCTTAGTGCTTGCTCCTGGCTCTTGGTTCACTTCTGATGTGCTCAGAGTGCTGGGGGAATCAGGGTGGAGCCCAGGCCAGCGCCCTTATCAATGTGCTATCTGACCCCTTGGTCTCTTTAAGGAAGGTTTGCTATAGTAAAAGACATGTAGTAAAAGACATCACAATTTCAGAGCTTAACTAGATGAGGAAGTTAAAGAGAACTTTTAATTTTTTTTTTCTGTTTGCCTTGCGCACAGCCAGCCCGGCCAAGCTGGGTTCGATTCCTCTCAAAGAGCCCGGCAAGCTACCGAGAGTATCTCGCCTGTGCGGCAAAGCCTGGCAAGCTACCCGTGACGTATTCGATATGCCAAACACAGTAACAACAAAGTCTCCAATGGAGACGTTACTGGGCCCGCTCGAGCAAATCGATGAACAACAGGAGGACAGTGTTTGTTTTTTGGGGGGTCACACCCGGCAGTACACAGGTGTTAGTCCTGGCTTTGTACTCAGGAGTTACTCCTGGCGGTGCTCAGGGGACCATATGGGATTTTAGGAATCCAACCCGGGTCAGCCACGTGCAAGGCAAACGCCCTACTGTACTTTTGCTCCAGCCCCAGAATTTTAATTTTTTTTTTTACTTTTGGGGTCACACCCGGTGATGCACAAGGGTTACTCCTGGCTTTGCACTCAGGAATTATTCCTGGTGGTGCTTAGGGGAGGACTCTTGTGTCCTGTTTTTCTGTATCCAACAGAATTGAATGGGAGTTTATATTGCAGCTGAGTTCCTGGAATTCTTAGCAACCCTTAAAAACAAGTCATCCCTCAGATAAGCAATGACCCTGGAGAATGCTCAGACCAGGTAACCCCTTCAGGAACTAACCAAACCAGTAAATTTCCAAAATCTCAGCATCCAGGGTATATAAGGAAAAGAGGATGATTCTAACATTTCTTGATTCTAAAAGAAATAATAGTACTTACTGGAAGACATTTAACAATACCTCTGGTATAGATGAGTTCTGGTTTGGGTATTGGCCAATCCCCACAGTATAAATATCAGGACCAGTTTCATCTTTGAAGTTGAATCATTGTTCTAAATATTGTGTTGGGAGTTCTAAACACATTATTTTTATCTCCCAGCCATTGTTATATTCCCATCTTTTCTTTTGAACTACACCTGGTACTGCTTCTGGGCCATTCCTACCAGTACTCAGAGAATTATACAGCACCAGGGCCTGAATCCCAGGCTCCCACATGCCAAGCATGTATTCCCTCTCTCTGACCCCTATAGTCCCATTTTACGACGGGGGAAACTGACACACAGAAGCAATCTGGCCAAGGCTGAAAGCTAGTTAGTACATGGTGGAGCTGAGCCATGAATTTGTCTGTATTCTTGGCTTCAGTCTTGTTCCAGTACCCTAACCACTATCTTTTCTCACCTTTAGATGTTTTAGTATTCAGATGGATAGAAATATCCCCACTTCATAGAAGGGAAGGATGCCTAAAGTCTAAATTATAGAAAAGGCAAAAAGAGTTGGATACTCACTAGCTATATGGCCATTGGAAAGTGACTTAAGCTCTCTGTGTCTTTTCTCTATCAAATAGAATATAGTATCTAAAGAGGTTCCTAGGGGCTGGAGCAATAGCTTAGCGGTTAGGGCGTTTGCCTTGCACACGGCCAACCTGGTTTGATTCCCAACATCCCATATGGTCCCCCTGAGCACTGCTAGGAGTCGTTCCTGAGTGCAGAGCCAGGAATAAACTCTGTGCAGCACCGGCTGTGACCAAAAAAGCAAAAAAGAATAAATAAATAAATAAGTTGTTGAAAAATTCTTTTAAAAAAATAAATAAAGTGGTTCCTAAACCGTTTCCTAAAGTGGTTCAAATTAAATAATGCATCTAATGAGCTTAGAACATCACCTGTCTCTGAGTACTCAAATGATAGCTATTGTCATACTTTTAAATTTTTTAACAACTACCGAGAGTATCTCGCCTGCACGGCAGAGCCTGGCAAGCTACCTGTGACGTATTCGATATGCCAAACACAGGAACAACAAAAGTCTCACAATGGAGACGTTACTGGGCCCGCTCGAGCAAATCGATGAACAACGGGAGGACAGTGATACAGTGATGTATTATAAACTAAAGAATTACCCACATCATTGTGTATAATTGTGCAGGTCTTAAGGCATAGAAAGCACTCAAATATCTAACAAGACAGACAGCACTGAGTATTTTCTTTATGCTAATCACTGCTTCCCTTGCATCATCACGCTTCGCACAGATTTGATCCGCACTTTGCAAAAACAGAGTTGGAAGGGCTGGACAAATCGTAGAACAGGTCGAGTGCTTGCCTGCAGGAGGCTGTTCAATCATCAGCACCCCAGAAGCCCCCCCTCCCCTCCCCCTCATCAGGAGTGATCTTAGTGCTGAGCCTGGAGTAAGCCCTGAGCAAGTCAGATTTCGCTCCACCAAAAACAAAAAGTAGAATTAGAGCTCTCTAGAAGATAGTTTTTGCAAAGTCACGGGAATAAGTAAACCTGGTACATGTAGCCTTGGGCCCACATAGGCCCCCTAGCATGAATTCAGATGCAATGAATCTAATGGCAATTTAAGATACCTGCTTTGCTTTGCAGGTGGGTGTTTGTGTGGGAAAAAGGCTACCAAGAAATGGACTCTGTGGTCAGCTCGGTAACTACCAAAGCCAAGGGCGTGACTGTGACCAATACCTCTAAGCTGGGATTCCGGATCTGGGATGTGGCTGATTACGTGATTCCAGCTCAGGTAGGCCTCCGTATGCCTTCGCTTGCTCCCCTTTTAAACTGACTGTGCACACTTGCATACTATCACTGATTAACCAGACTGACAGTTTCAGTTCGAGAAAGGCAAGGGAAATTCTCTGGGGGACGGGGGCCATTCTCACCAGTGCTCAGGGCTTATCCTGGTTCTTTGCTTAGGGATCACTCCTGGCAATGCTCAAAGAACAAGTGTGGTGCTGAGGATTAAACCCAGGTCACTGCCTGTAAGACAAATACTTTACATGTTGTACTATCTCTCTAGCCCCCAAACTGATCTTTGTGGCAAAAATCTATTTTTCTATGTTTTTTTTTCTTTTTGGGTCACACCCAGTGATGCACAGGCGTTACTCCTGGCTCATGCACTCAGGAATTATTCCTGGCAGTTCTTGGGGGACCCTATGGGATGCTGGGACTCGAACCCGGGTCGGCTGCATGCAAGGCAAATGGCCTATCCACTGTGCTCTTGGTCCAGCCCCCAAAATCGATTTTTAAAAGAAATATGGCAACCCTGGAGTTCAAATCCAGGACCTCATACATGCAAGGTAAGGGATCTGCCTCACACATGCAAGGCAAGTGTGCTGAGACACATCCCAGCCTGATCTCCTTCTGCTTAAACTCTGTGATCATATTCAATCGTGTTTCTTCAACTCTAACATGACTAGCATAGCCACAGTCATCTCTCTAGCCCCGGAAAGTGAAAAAAGATAATGTCTTAAATCCTGGGAAAATTCAACCAAAATATCATCTTTCCACGTTGTTGTATGTGTTGTATTGTGAACCCACGGTAAATATTTTTAGTGTAAAACTTTGGAGATGCAAAGCAAACAAGAAGGAAACAGATACCTAACAGAAGGTTGTATCAGGAACCAGAGGGAAGAAGTTGTTCGATGCAGAACCCTCGGCTCTAATCTGTAAGCACAAAGCTAAATTAAATATTGACTTTCCATAGCCATTGTGATAACTATACTCAGCACCGCCAACCCCAGCAGATTCCTCCAGATGGCAGACGTGCCAGGGTGACCTGGCAGGCCAAAGGCGGATAACCTTGGCTCGTCCTGCCAGGGGATATAAAGACTTCAGAAAATCCCTCTGTCCTCAAATGTGTTCACTGTCTTCCTGCCTGCTCAGGAGAAGGGCCTTGCAGGGTGCCCAGAGAGCACATAAATTGGGTGAGTCGTGACGATCAAAGGGGACCAGATTCCGAGCAGGCTCGAGGTGGGGGTGCTGTTGGCAGCCACCTGTCTCAGCAAAGGGGCCTCTGCTGCCTGTGGAGACACGGCCTCATCTTGGCACGTTCTGGGAAGATCACACTCAGGAAGTTGACTGAACCCCAAAGGTCCAGGCCCCGCTTCAGTGCCTGAGGACCAGGCAGGCTGGGGTCTCATTGGCCCACGGGGCTCTCTTCATGTGCATTCACAACGCCCAATCGCTTCTGCAGAAATGGAGCAAATATCCGTTTGCCTGCGTCTACTTGGCTCATCTCAATCTGAAATTTCTCTGAACTTAAAATAGAAAAGAAGGAGATGAAAAGGAGACGAGTGCTTGGTCTCCCTCAGGAGCATAGGCGCAGCCTTGAATGAACATCCACAAGAAGCTCTGGGTCCGACGGGGGTACCATGGCACACACAGAAGCCCCTGGTCCTGACAGGGGTGCCAGGGACACACAGAAGCCCTGGGTCCAACAGGGGTGCCGGGGAACACACTAGAGGGTTTTCTGTGCCCACTAATCCCCATGTCTCCCAGCAAGGTTTGTGCTGGGCCTTTGTTGGAATGACACCAGACCTCCCCAGGGCTGCCAGCACCTTGTCAGATGTGTAGTGGTGTCTGCACACCCTTTGTCCCCGACGTATCCTGTGAGCACCCCCAGAGAACCCCCAGTCCAGACTGCACACCCAGGAGTGTGAAGGTGTTTCATGAACGCCGGTGCCTATGAGGGGGTGAGCCAAGTCAAACGTTTCAGAGTTTCTGCCTTTTACAACTCACGCTGGGGTGTCCTACTTCATTCTTCCGTCTTAGCCTCGGTGAATTGCTCTCCAGCGCCCTTAAACCAACACTTGGAGCTTCCTACATAGGAGAGAGCGGACTCTTTGCAAAAGGAAGTGTTAAATGCTAGTCCTTAGTCTTGTCTTGAATGTGCTGTTTGTTCTAGTTCTGGTCAGGAAAGAGCCCCTGCCAGATATGAGACCTTTGAGGCTCCTGTTTTTGCACCTTTGAGTAAGCAGAGGCTGTTTCAAGTATTGCTTGATTTCATAAAGTCAAGTTTTATGAAGGCACCATTTATGTGAAGGAATTTTTAATATCAAGAGGTAAAACTGACTTATCATAAAGTGCTTCAAAATGGAATTTTCCATGGCTTTTAGTACATTTACAAAGTTGTGTACCTAGCACCTCAGTCTAATTCCCAAAACTTTTTTTGGTTGGAGAGAAGTATTTTGTTTTTTGTTTAGGGGCCATACCTGACAGTGCTCAGGCTTTACTCCTGATCTAAACCCTGTACTCCCGAGCAGTCTGTCCACATCTCCCCCAAGCCCCCTCCCTGACAACCACCCTTCCACTTCCTGCCTCTGCGTTTGCCGCTTTGGGACGTTTCCTGTGGACAGGCTCATCCGATGTGCGGCCCTCTGTGATGGCTCCGTGCCCTCAACGTCGTGCTTCAGCTCCTCCGAGTTGGAGCCTATCCTCAGCGCTCCGTTCCTTCCCAGCTTCCCAAACAGATCACACTGCAGACCCAGTTGCCTGTCCAGAGACACTGGCCTGTGTCCACCATGGGCTCCTGTGATGGAGCTGCCGTGAAGAGACAGTCACATGTATCTCTCCAGGTCCGTTTTCAGTGAGGACAGTCACAGGAGAGACGAGAAGACCAGAAGATCTGTATGCGCTTGGGGGAGGGGATGTTTGTTGGGGGGGTACTACACCTGGTGGTGGCTTGGGGGCCGTCCTGGTGTGGCACTCAGGAGTCACTCCCCCTTGGGGCTGCCACATGTGATGCGTGTGCTCCGTCTGCTGTGCTCCTCTCCTGTCTGCGGTTTCTTCGCTGTGCACGTGTTAAAGCGAAGGGCGCCAGCCGGCAGACTGAACTCCAGCTTTGCTCAGACTCTGCTCTGTTCTCGGAAGGACACACGACAGTGTGCTCTCTGCCGTTGCCCCCTCTGCAGGAAGAAAACTCCATCTTCATCATGACCAACATCATCGCCACCATGAACCAAACACAAGGCCTCTGTCCTGAGGTAGGAATCTTCTCGGACATAGCCTCAGGGCCGGTCTGCCCGCTGGGGCCGCGTCCACACGGAACTTGTTTTCACTTCTTTTTTTCCTCCAGTTTCCAGATGAGTCCACCATGTGTCAATCAGATGCCAACTGTTCCGCGGGCTCTGCCGGCACCCACAGCAGCGGTACATGTGTGCGGCCGTGACCCCCGAATAGATGCTTAGACAAGGCAGCGGGCCACTCCCCCGGAGGGGTACCTATCACTGTGCAGCCTGAGGGATAAGGAAGTGACCCATCTGCCTCCCGCCACCCTAGAGACTGGGGCACAGGTTGGGGGGTGAGGATCTTGGCATTCACCCCATCATTGATTTCCCCCCAAAGCCATCTCAGATCTTCACCAGTGCTAAGGCTTGACATCACCCCAAGTCTAGCAACTGCAGAGCAGAGATACAGCTAGGATTCCCGCAAACCCCAACTCCCCCCCCACACACACACACACCAATGGACACTCTCCAAACCAGCATGGCTCAAAAGTCACCGCATGGGGTGTCATAGTGGAGGGTCTCCTCCTCCTAACAAAAAGACCTGCATCTCCCCTCGCTTCTGTAGGAGTTGCAACGGGAAGGTGTGTGCCTTTCAACCAGACCGTGAAGACATGCGAGGTGGCAGCCTGGTGCCCGGTGGAGGAAGACGAGCAGGTGCCAAAGTAAGTCCTGGCCATGGGAAGGAAGGTGCCAAGCCTCTGCTCCCAGGCCAGAGGGAAGGTGGCCTGTGTATGTGACTTTGTTCTCTTGGTGTCCCTGTGGCCTCAGGCGTCACTCATCACAAGGCATCAGACAGGGGCCCCTGGTATATTATGGAAGCCTGCAGAAGACTTATTCCAGGAACTGACAGCGAACAGTTCTCTGAGCCTTAAAGTACATATGTTACGGGCACACATACACACACATACTATGCCATTTATCATCCATCTGACCACAGACAGTAACCTCAGCACGGCTGATCTGGGCACAGAGGTCAACAGCTGAGTGTTACCTCATCTTGGAGATCTGGGGACCAAAGAGAAGATTGAGAACTGGCTTGAAGATTCCTTTTATTTTTTTTTCTTTTTGGGTCACAGCTGGCGATGCGCACAGGGGTTACTCCTGGCTCTGCACTCAGGAGTTACTCCTGGTGGTACTCAGGGGACCATATGGGATGCTGGGAATTGAACCCGGGTCGGCCGCAGGCCGCATACAAGGCAAACACCCTGCCTGCTGTGCTATCTCTCCAGCCCCTGGCTTGGAGATTTCTTAGTCCAGCCACTGCAACTAGGAAAGTACTGAAAAAAAAGAAGGGTAGCATTTCATTATTTTCGATGCTGGGTCTGGAACCCAGGGCCTCACACATGTGGGACTGGCACTCTGACACTGAACGACATGTTTGGCCAGAATCCTCACTTGTGAGAGGTGGAGATTGGAGAGCTGTGCTCGCGGTGGAGCCACTGGCCCATGAGGCTGTGGCACCTGGGACACGTGGCTGCGTCCCCAGTAGGCTATGACAGCAGCATGTGATATGTGCTCGATTCAGAACATGGAAGCAGCTCATTAATTAGAATGTCTGGAGACCACCGCAGAGTCCCAAGATAAATCCCCAGCATTGCACGGTCCCCTGTACACAGCCAGGAATGACATCCCTCAAGAACCACGGTGCGAGGAGCCCCCTAAACACTGCTAAGTGTGACCCGAACACCAAAGTAATGATAATATTTCATCATGTTTACGTTAGAGTAATATTTCAGATATACTGAGATAAAGGTTTATTTCACTGCCGTTGAGTACTGCCAAGTATGGTCTACATGACCACACCCTAAAACGGTATTCTTTAAGTGTTCTGTGAGTTCCACCTCAGATCAGTTCATGTTAACAGTTTTGTACAAGATACAGACATGTGGAGGAGAGATTATGGTATAGAGCAGGTGTTTTTGGTTTTTTGTTTGTTTTTATTTATTTATTTGGCGTTTTGAGTCTCACCTAGCAATGCACAGGGGTTGTTCCTGGCTCTGCACTCAGGAATTACCCCTGGCGGTGCTCAGGAGACCATATGGGGTGCTGGGAATTGAACCTGGTTTGGTCATGTGCAAGGCAAATGCCCTACCCGCTGTGCTGCTGCTCCAGCCCCGAGCAGGTATTTTTTTAAAACCCTGGCCTGTGGTGGGATGTGGTCAGTAGCAGAACACATGCATGCATTTCTTGTATGCAGTCATGCAGCCCTCAATATGATACCTGACATAAATAAGTTTAAAGTTCAAAAGAAAAAAAATTACATCAGATACAGAAATAAGGGGAATTGAATCCCTGAGGAAAAGAAAGAGCTCTACTTGCTGCATCAACAGATAACTGACGTTATGTATGTGGGGTGTGGGGTTGGGGGGGGCAGGGGAGCTTGCTCAGAGAGTGGGATCAACATGCTCCTGTCAAAAGATACCAAAAGGGGCTGGAGTGATAGTACAATGAGTAGGGTGTTTGCCTTGCACGCGGCCGACCCGGGTTCAATTCCCAGCATCCCATATAGTCCCCTGAGCACTGCCAGGAGTAATTCCTGAGTGCATGAGCCAGGAGTAACCCCTGTGCATCACCAGGTATGACCCAAAAAGCAAACAAACAAAAAAAGACACCAAAAATTGGAACTTCCAATTCCAAGTCAAATGCAGCTGAGTAATCCCTGATTACTTGGCTCTGTACTCCACAGTCATTCCTGGCAGCATATAAGGGACCAGGAACTGAACCCCCCAGTTGCCACTTACCGGCTCTTTCTCTGCGGTCCCGCTGACGTGGAACTTGGAGAACAGGCCACGAGCTAGCAGGCACGACCTTTTTGTGTACTTCTGAGATGAGGTCAGTTCAGCCTGCACCTGAACTTTCTCTAGCTCTAACCTGTAAAACCAGATTCGAGCACTCAGAGAGGCCAGACCCAAAGTGACAGCTAAGGCTGCCGGAGGAGCTCATCTGCTCAGCTCCTGTTCCAAGTGCTCCCTTGGCAGTAGGAGAACAGAAGGCGCGCTGACAGAGCCCTCCTCCAACGGGGCCGTGAGACAGGAGAGAAGGCGAGGAGCAAGATTCCACCCGGCATCACAAAGGGAACCCAGCCCTGGCCAGAGACAGCGCCCAACCCCAAAACAAACACAGGCCCCGCTTCTTGACTTGTTTAGGCAGCAGAGAATAGAAAGTGCTAGAAATGTTTCGTTCTTGCCCAAAGACGTCATGGGACGTGTGTACTGCTGTGTGGAGACAGCTGAGGCCTGTGAGGTGGACTTTCACTCACAGTGCAGCATCTTTGTTTTCCAGTCCTGCTTTTCTAAATGCTGCGGAAAACTTCACCCTTTTGGTTAAGAACAACATCTGGTACCCCAAGTTCAACTTCAGCAAGTAAGTGCCACCGTCAGTTTTGTGAGTCCCCCGAGGCTGAGAGAAGCTTCTGGTTCTTAAAGTTTTTCTCATTTCTCTACTTCCTCACGGCTTTAGGAGGAATATCCTTCCCAACACCACGACCACCTACCTCAAGTCCTGCATTTACGACCCCCTCACGGATCCTTTCTGCCCCATTTTCCGTCTGGGGAAAATAGTGGAGTACGCGGGACACAGCTTCCAGGACATGGCTGTGGAGGTAGGCACAGGCCCGGCTGCCTCAGCCCAGTGACCCAACTCCTTCTAGAACAGGCTCTGAGGAAAGCTGGCTTCGTCTCTGCTCGAACCCTGCAGGGAGGCATCATGGGGATCCAGATCAACTGGGCCTGCAACCTGGACAGAGCCGCCTCCCTCTGCCTGCCCAAGTACTCCTTCCGCCGCCTCGATACCAGGGACATGGACCACAATGTGTCCCCCGGCTACAATTTCAGGTGGGCCCCATTGCTCGTGCCTTGGGGATGACGGTGGCTGGTGCTGTCCCCAGTGCACAGAGCCATGCACCAAAGGCCCCTCATCGGGGGGGGGGAGGGCCGGGGACAGTGGCTGGCTAGTCCTGTACCTGTGACTTCCTGGGCTTCGAGCCACCTTGTTCTGTTCTGCCTCAAAAAACCAGAGGGACTGGGGGCGGTGCGGGGAGGATGGGCAGAGCCACGGAGAGGCTGGCTGCTTTCAGAACCCCCACCCACACTGCTCCTGGTGTCCCCGAGGATGTGCCCTGAGGGTGGGGACCCCAGTCTTAGCCTCAGAAAATGCCTCCGCTGATCCTCTCCGCTGAGTCCTGGGGCTTTGGCTCAAGGGCTGATGCACAGGGTTTGCTGCTCACCGGTGGGTGGCTTGGGGCAGCCGGTTCTGCCACAGTGGTGGTGACAGAGGTCCCCGATCCAGGTGCCAGCAAGGACAGGCTCTTTCTAGACCTCATATAACTTCTGGTGGCTCCTGGCAATCATGGGGATCCGTTGCTCACTCACGATCACAAATTCTCCTCCTCTTCCTCCATGAGACCTTCGGCTGCTTCTCCTCCACCCATCACCAGCCAAACTGGATTGAGCCCCCCAATCCAGCACGAATCCCTCACATTCACACCCGGAGATCAACTAGGGGAGAGTGGGGGCCGATGCTGAGACCAGCACAGTTGGCAGTCTGATGGCAGGGGCCAGGGCAGGACGGAGGGGGCCGAGCTGATCCCAGCTCAGATGGCAGTCTGATAGCAGGGGCCAGGGCGGGGCAGAGGGGACTGATGCTGAGCCCAGCCCAGTTGACAGTCTGATAGCGGAGGCCAGGTCAGGGCGGCCACTTAAGGAGGAAAGTCTTGGCTGGACTGGGAGATGCCCAACAGGCAGAGCATGTGCTTCTCATGCAGGAGGCCCCGGGTTGATCCCCAGCGCCACACCGTTCCCGAGCAGAGCCAGGACTATGCCTCAAAAGTTCTGGTTGTGGCCCAACAGCATAAAACAAAAAAGCAGAGGCTGGAGCAATAGCACAGCGGGGAGGGGGTAGGGCGTTTGCCTTGCACGCGGCAGACCCAGGATCAGTTCCCAGCATCCCATATGGTCCCCCCAGCACCGCCAGGAGTGATTCCTGAGTGCAAAGCCAGGAGGAACCCCTGAGCATCGGCGGGTGTGGCCCAAAAAGCAAAAAAGAAAGAAAAAGAAAAGAAATGCTTGGGGCTTGGCCTGGGGCCATGGGGGGGAGGGGGAAAAAACAAACAGAAAAAAGCAGCAGCAAACTGTAGCCACGCCCCTTCTCTCAGGCCCCTTTCGTGTTTTACTTGTCGCCCTCTACTGGTGACGTGTGGGATGGCGCCCAGCTGCCGCAGGAAATGTCAGGCCCTGCCGTCCACGCAGTCTGGCCCCTCACCCTCCCGAGTAAAGGTCAATGAGAAGCGTATCCGGTGCTGCGGTGTGCTGGCCAGCTCAGTCCCCGGCCCATAGGGCTGTCCCCTTCCTGCACAGTGGCCAGGGTCTCCCCGAGAGAGGCAGGCGACTCGGGTGTCAGGAAGGCTTGGGGAGCAAGTTTGGTGGTGCTGAGGGAGAGCCCAGGCCTGTGTTTGACTCTCTCCCAGGGCCTCCCACACAGCCCGGCCCTCCGCTGCCAGACTCTCCTCTGCCAAGGAGAGGCCCAAGGTGCTCGACCAGTGCAGTGGGATTCTGTTCCCAGGGGGGTTGCAGCCACTCACTCACGCTCCCTGGATCTTCCCCAGGTTTGCCAAGTACTTCAAGGACCCGGGTGGCACCGAGCACCGCACACTCATCAAGGCCTACGGCATCCGCTTCGACGTCATCGTGTTTGGGAAGGTAGCCTGGTGCCTGCTCCTCCCTGGGCGCCTCTTTCAGGCTGGCCAGGGGCCCCGGGGCCTCCCCACACCTTCCTCCGTTCTTCTCTGCCCCCGCCCCTAGTGGCACTCGGTTGCTTCCTGTCTTGCAGGCTGGGAAATTCGACATCATCCCCACTATGATCAACATCGGCTCTGGCCTGGCACTGCTGGGGGTGGTAAGTGGCGGGGGGGGCGTTGGGGGGGCACTGCTCAGCCTGAGGGGGGGCCCCTGGCCATCCTAGCGGTGTCCGCCCAGGGCTCACACTGGACTCTCCATTCGACCCCTCAGGCTGTTTCCCTGTGCTGCTCCCCCACCTTCCGTCTCCCAACCATGCCAGTGGGGGTCCTTCCTTCCAGTGAAAGGTGTGGGCTAGGGGAAGGGACCAAACCTTGCAAGGTCAAGTTTCTTCCCTTTCCTAAATTCAGGCAACAGTGCTCTGTGACGTCATTGTCCTCTACTGCATGAAGAAGAAGTACTACTATCGGGAGAAGAAATACAAATATGTGGAAGACTATGAGCAGGTAGGTTGCATCCCAAAGTTACCTCCCTTTAACTGCCTCACATACCTCAGCGAGAACCCTGAGCTGGGCAGCCCAGCATCGCCTACCTGCTCCATTTCTAATCCATCACAACTGGGATTCACTTCCTACTTTCTTCATATGGACTTTCAGTTCTAACCCGTCCCAATAAGTGACGTGTTGTGTGTTCTTCTTCCAGGGCCTTGCTGGGGAACAGGAGCAGTGAGACCTCCCGGGGCCCTCTGGCACCGTTATCTAAGCACATCAACAAAGGAAAAAAAGATCACCCCAGGTAGAATATCCCAGCTTTGGATGCAGGCTCTACTTCCCCAGAGCCTGAAGGTGCCTTTGTTTTGGGGCGCAGGGTTTCCATGGGAAGCATGGAAGGTCACCTCCTGCCCTGCCGGGTGAGCAGGCAAGCCCTGGCCCTGGGACGTGGGAGTGTTGTATACCCAGGCCCAGCGTCTGCAGAATCCCCCACAATCATCAGACAGTGACAGGCCGCGCTACTTGCCCAGCTCAAGCACTTTAGATGGGAAGGAAGGACCCTGCGTGTCACCTCTAGGTTGGTCACCTGTGTTTTGCACACTGGGACTGCTGTTCCCCGCCCCCCACAAAAGTGAGCTGCGACACTGTGCCTACAGGTGCTATATCACCTGGCGTTTCGGCTCCCAGGACCTGGCTGACTTTGCCGTCCTGCCCAGCTGCTGCCGCTGGAGAATACGGGAAGAATTTCCCAAGAGTGAAGGCCAGTAGAGTGGCTTCAAGGACTTACTGATGGCTCAGGCTGGGCAGTCATTCCTGGAGCCTTTGCCTACACCTTGAGCCTCACCTGCAAAGGTCTGTGGCCAAATTTTCAGCCAGAGGGAAGTGTACGTTCCTCCCACCTCTCTGTAGGAGTCAGAGAGCTGAGTCCTGGGAAATCAGACAAACCAAGGGTCCTCAGCATGGACCATGAACCAGGAGATTTAGATTTGGGTCTCGGCTCTGTCCCTAAAAAGTAATGTGATCCTGGGCTTTTAACCGCTTTACCTCACCTTCTCACCAGCCTACTATCTCCCCGAGGCATTGATGGCCAACACTGCACTTTCTCCTTAATGCATAATGAGGAAAATGAATGTCAGACTAGGAAACTATGAAAAAAGCCCCCTAGGTCCTGTTTGCAGCATGCGGAGGACTAAAAATGGCCCCAAGTTATTTGACGCATATCTCAGGACCCGAGGTTAGGTCGGCCCTTGCATCAGTGCAGCTTTGACTGCTCTCTCCAGTTGTGCATTGACATTGCACTACTAGGTAAATTGAGCCTTGGAGGCCCCCACTTCCTGGCCCTTGGCAGCCTGGCTGGAAAGAAAGCCAGCCCCCAGAGATGAGTATGCCGATCTTGAGACAGTCCTGAGCAGAGGACAGAGAGCCTGGAAGTCACATGGAGAGATGTCGGACCAGATTTCAGGAACTTCCGTCTCTAACTTGACCACAATTACCAAGACATCTAAGAGGACAACTTGGACACACAGAATGAAATTATTTGGGGGGGTTGGTTTTGTTTTTTTGCCTTTTGGGGGGCCACACTTGGCAGTGCTCAGGACTTAGTCCTGGCTCTGCTCTCAGGGAACACTCCTGGTGGGGTTCAGGGGACCATATGGGTGCTAGAGATTAAACCCAGGTTGGCCTTGTGCGAGGCAGTTACCCAGCCCACTATAGTATCTTTTGGATCCCATGAAATCTTTTAAGCCACTACTTTTTAGATGAAAATGTTAAATAGCAACAGATAACTACATAGAGAGGAGATCTGATGGTGACTCTGCCCATAATTTTCCTGGTTCTAAGTCTGTCCATCCTTAGGGGCCCTGGGTTTCTATTTGGTAATTCTAGAAAGGCTGATGGCCAAATCAGGTAAATTCACTCTTCAGCCTGCAATCCATCAAATCTCACAGCTGAGTTACCCAATACAGTGCAACTTGCGTCACATTCCTATGGTGGGAAATAACTGCTGCTGTTAGAAACTGCAAAGTTTAGCTTTGTGCCTTGAATAAACCTAGATGGGTACTTGAAGAGTAGTCCCCCCCAACCCTTATCATTTCTCTACATCAGCCACTATGAATATGTAAATGGGTATTTGTAAGCTCCTCCCGAAGGATTTCCTTTTCATAATTGTGATAATAAACTTCACTGTAGCAATTATTTTGAAGAATAGAGACCACTATTCAATATTATATATGATGCACAATCTGTGATTTCCCCCCCATACTCTTAAGGTTTACCATTTTGATACATTAAAAAAAAAAACACTATTGGGGACTGGAGTGATAGCACAGCAGGTAGGGGGTTTGCCTTGCACCAACCCGAGTTTTATTCCCAGCATCCCATATGGTCCCCTGAGCCCCGCCAGGAGTAATTCCTGAGTGCAGAGCCAGGAGTAACCTCTGTGCATCGCCGGGTGTAACCCAAAAAGAAACAACAACAACAAAAAAAGAATTCTATGTGAATAGTATAGATATTTTGATGGCCTCTGATGCCAGTGCATTTGTTGCCTCATAGAATCCTAAATGGAGTATGAATCTCAAGTGACAAAAGAATTCCTTGATCTACTTGAAGACTGCCTGTCTTCACCTTCCCCCAGATGCTCTGGGTGAATGGGGGATGTGTGATGTTAACTGTGTATAAAATGCCTGATGCTTCCACAACAACACGTCATATTTGTATTTTTAGTCTACTGCTTAAAATAATATTGCCACAGGCATCCCATGGAGAATCAGGTTTTGTGGGTTTTTTTTCTAGTACTCCAGTTCACTCTTCTGACTGGTAGCTAGCTGTTCAGCAACCTCACAGCTCAGCATCTGCTCAACACCTGACCGCTTCCTTGCTTGCTTGCTTGCTCTCACTCCTCTGACCTCATGGAGAGATGGGAATGGACTTGCCTTTTTCTCTTCAGAGGGAATGCTTTAAAAGACCTTCCTAATGTCTTAACATGACTTTTGATCATTAAAAAAAAAAACACATAAATCATACTTGGATTCCCTTTACTTCCTTTTTTCCAGAAGATTCCCCCAAATCACAGCTCATTCACGGACACATTCATTCATCAGAGTCACTCACTACACATAATACAGTATGTTGTGAGGAAGGCTGGTGAGATAGTACAGTAGATAGGGAACTTGCCTAGTATGCAGTTGACCAGGGTTTGATCCTCAGCACCCCAAATGGTCCCCCAAGATCTGCTAGGAGTCATCCCAAGTAATTTTCATACTTGACAGTAGGAAAGGACCTTATTATGCAGCACAGCTGAGTACTGTGATTTATGAGTTGTATTTCATTTCCCATGCAAACAGGAAGCTCCGCAAAGGCACAGAGCCTCTCAGGGTTTGTGCCTCTGGTGCCTATTCCAGCACAGGGCAATGGGGTAGAATTGTGACACCAGAAACAAAACTGGGCTCATAGCCTATCTCAGCAACCGCTTAAGGCGTGGTATTGGTTGGCTTGTCCAACCCTTAGAAACCTCAGTTGTACCTTTGTGTGTAGGGGTGTTTTAACTCCCATGTTATAAATGTCAATATATGAAAAGCACTTAACCCACGCCCAGATCAGAGAAAGCAACAAATGCTAGAAAATCTCATTGTTTAAAGAATTAGCCAGACATTTAATGATGCCGACTAGTAGTATGATTACTTGGACAGTGCCCAAGCACTTCTCCTGAGCTCCAGGAGAAGTCCATTTCTGGAATCACCTCTGGATACTCAGTGAGGCTCAAGTTACCAATCACTGACCCCTGAGCTGAAGCAGGCGGGCATCGTTGCGGGTCTCATGCACTGAGGAGAGCAGCTTTGCCAGCTCAGCATCTGCTTCTGCTCCTGTGCTGCGGGGAGACCCAAAAGGCCATGCTCCAGACTGGGAAGTGAGGAAACCCGCAAACAGCAAGTGATTACTGGGAGTGTCTGCAACATGCAGGGGTTGAATGTGCCACAAAGGCCTCATCCAAAAAGGGCTGTGACACACCGTCCCGGATATGAAGGTGGCACCCCAGATACTGAATATAGGGCAAGCTCAAGTTGTCTGCCTCACAGAAAAATGTCAGAATGAAGCAAAAAAATAAAGGGTAAAATTAGAGTGAGCAGAATATTTTAGGATAGGAAGGAGTCCCAGTGGGAAAATCACTTTAAAAAAACTCAATCTAATTAAAATCTAGACTTACAAAATAAGCAAATAGGGCGTAATTAGGGTGTGAGTATTTTATGCTTTACAAAGTGATTTGAGACAAGATAAAATTCCTTCAAAGCATTAGAATGATATTGCACACAGTCCCTTTTCAGAGCTTCCTAGCAAAGAAACAAGGGACTATCTGTAGAGCTGGGCTTTCACTGACTACCAGTGAGAACCCTGTAGACCTCGTCTTACTTTTCTTATTTGCAAAAGGTAAAATTTGAGCTACCTATAAGGTACTTTTAACATGTTCCCTCCATTGTTAATACAATAAGGTCAATGGCACCTTACAAACTTAAACAAAGCACATCACCTGGTATGTGGCAATTTGAATACTCTGTCATGTCACTGTCACTGTCACTGTCCTCCTGTTGTTCATTGATTTGCTCGAGCAGGCCTAGTAACGTCTCCATTGTGACAATTGTTACTGTGTTTGGCATATTGAATACGTCACGGGGAGCTTGCTAGGCTTTGCCGTACGGGCAAGATACTCTCGGTAGCTTGCCGGGCTCTCCTGTGTTAACTAAAATCAAAAGTCCATACCATGGCCTATAAGATCTGAACCAACTCAGACCAACAACCTCTCAGGACCATAGTTCACCTCACTTCCTATCCTTGGCTACTATGCTATGTTCATGTTGAGGTTTTTTTGTTTCAGGGAGCCTCCCCCACAAAAAAAGGAAAGAAAAAGAGAAAGAGAGAGAGAGAAAGGAAGGAAGGAAGGAAGGAAGGAAGGAAGGAAGGAAGGAAGGAAGGGGCTGGAGCAATAGCACAGCGGGTAGGGCGTTTGTCTTGCACGCGGCCGACCCGGGTTCAATTCCCAGCATCCCATATGGTCCCCTGAGCACCGCCAGGGGTGATTCCTGAGCGCAGAGCCAGGAGTAACCCCTGTGCATCGCCAGGTGTGACCCCAAAAAAGCAAAAAAAAAAAAAAAGAAAGAAAAAGAAACTTGATCTTCCCCCAAAGAAGTATAGTACTGCACTGTACTGTCCTCCCATTGTTCATTGATTTGCTCGAGCAGGCACCAGTAACATCTCCATTGTGAGACTTGTTACTGTTTTTGGCATATCGAATACATCAGGGTAGCTTGCCAGGCTTTGCTGTGCGGGCGGGATGCTCTCAGTAGCTTGCCGGGCTCTCCGAGAAGGGCAGAGGAATCGAACCTGGGTCGGTGGCATGCAAGGCAAATGCCCTACCCACTGTGCTATTGCTCCAGCCCACCCAAAGAAATATAGGTATAATTTTTTTCCTGATGCAACCTCTACCAGTTTTCAGAGCTATAGTGCCTAAGAAGTAAGCCTTCTCCCAGAAAACTTACCTGTAGCTGGCAGACTGTTGATCCCCAACAAATAATTTTCCCCCACCATTGAGAAAATTGGCTCCTTTATATTCATATCTCAGAGTATATCCTTAGAAAAATAAAAAGGGGAAAAAACATTTTCTTAGACATGGTTCCCCCAGTTAATAAATACATACAGACACATAAGAGATATTGTGGGTTCCTTCCAGATGTCACAATATAACAAATGTCTCAGAAAAAGTGAGTTACTTTGTGGATTCCAGGGGCATATAAAACTTAAGTTTGGGGACTAGAGTGAGAGTACAGAAGATAATGCATTTGCCTTCCATGCAACCAACCTGAGTTCGATCCCTGGCATCCCATATGGTCCCTTGAGCCCACCAGGAGTGATCCCTGAGCATAAAGCCTTGAGTAAGCCCTGAGCACAACCGGGTGTGGTCCAAAAACAAAAGAAAATTTACGAAGTTAACACAATACTGTCTGTTACTAAGTACACAATAGCACTATGTCTAAAATAAAATTTTTTAAAATTGGGAGAGCCAGATATACAGTAGGTAGGGCATCTGCTTAGCATGTGGTCAACCAGGGTTCAATCCTTGCCATCCCATATGGTCCCCAAACCTCACCAGGAGTGATCCCTGAACACAGAGCCAAGAGCAAGTTCTAATCATTGCTGAGTGTGACCCACCCCCCCACAAAACAGAAAAATTAAAATTTTAAATGTTTATTGCTAAAAACTGGGCTGGAGACCAGATCCAAGATGGCGGCCAGCAGGAGGCCGATGAAGGAGCTTGAAGAAATCCGCAAATGTGGAATGAAAAACTTTTGTAACAACCAGGTTGATGAAGTTAATTTATTGACTTGGAAAGGGCTTATTGTTCCTGACAATCCTCCATAAGAAAAGGGGGCCTTCAGAATCGAAATAAACTTTCCAGCAGGGTACCCATTCAAACCACCGAAGATCACATTTAAAACAAAGATCTATCACCCAAACATTGATGAAAAGGGGCAGGTCTGTCTGCCAGCAATTAGTGCTGGAAACTGGAAGCAGGCAACCAAAACTAACCAAGTAATCCAGTCCCTCATTGCACTGGTGAACGACCCCCAGCCTGAGCACCCACTTTGGGCTGACCTAGCTGAAGAATACTCTAAGGACCGTAAAAAATTCTGTAAGAATGCTGAAGAGTTTACAAAGAAATATGGGGAAAAGTGACCCGTGGTCTAAATCTGTCATGATTGATTCCAGCAAGTGTGAGCATTCAAACACCCGCAAAGCAGGACTCTGTGGAAAATTGACATCTGCCACCGCCTGCCGCTCGCCTGTGGCAGTTACTAACTTTCTACAGTTTTCTTAATCAAAAGTGGTTTAGGTAACCTGTAAAGAAAGGATTAAAAAATTAAGATGTTCTAGTTCTGCTTTCTTTGTTTTAAAAATCACTGCTTCAATCTACTTTAAAAGAATGGTGTTTCTCTTCTTTTCCAAATTTATCCCAAATCTTCAATTTACATTTAGTCCTTAAAGGTTAAAAAAACAAAAAAAACTAAAAAAGGGTTGTGGTTCTCCTTTTCCCTGCCTCATTCAGGTTTTTTTTTTGGGGGGGGGGGGGTTTTGCTTTTTTTTTTTTTTTTTTTTTTGCTTTTTGGGTCACACCCGGCGATGCTCAGGGGTTACTCCTGGCTCATGCACTCAGGAACTGCTCCTGGCAGTGCTCAGGGGACCATATGGAATGCTGGGAATCGAACCTATGTCGGCCATCTTGGCTGCATGTAAGGCAAACGCCCTACCCGCTGTGCTATCGCTCCAGCCCCTCAGTTTATTCACTTCCCCAGATCCAGGCCTCGTCTCCTACACAGAAGAGACCGTGCTGGCATTTCCTGTGCCGGCCACACTGCCTGGTGTGTGGAAGTTGGTTCAAATTCTCCTGACTCCAGTTTATAACATCTTTTTTAATTTTTTTTTAAAAAAACAATCTAATTAACTTATTTTCCCTCCACTATGCACCCCCCTCCCCATGCTATAAAAAAGGAGGCCCAACTTTTCTGTAAAAATCTGGCAAATTGTTACCACAGTAACATTGATTAAATGGGCAAACCCAATGTCTCTGTGTGTGACTGAACCCCAACCTGGCCCTGCCTGCTTGGGAACATCAGGTTTGTGGTGACCCCTGGGAGGGTCTGTCAGCCGGAGGACACTGACTGCACTCTACGAGGAATTTCTCAACAGAAGGGCATGCCTCTTGCAGCCAAATAGAAGATACGCTAAAGGCTGCAGACAACGCAGAAGCCAGAATGCCCATTTGAATTTCCACGTTTATTTGTCACCAAGTTCCGCCCGAATGTGCCAGGGAGCTTGCGCCAGCTCCTCAGTGCAGCAGCCCCACGGTGGCCAGCCTTTCCTCCCTTGGCACACTTTGACCCTTTGCAGGGTTAGAATTGGCAGGACTCGGCCATAGCCAGCATCGACCTGCGGTCACCAGCACCCTGCTGGCCCTTGCCTTGCAT